CTCCCTTGGTCGATGAGGATGCGGAGGACGTCAAAGGGTGGCGTCACCTCATCGACCCTATTCTCCTCGTGGGATTCTTGTCGAGCAGCTTCGTTCCTCCTAGTGTACTACTTTAGATGCCCTTCCTTGATCAGGATTTTGATGGAATCCTTGAGATGAATGCAATCTTTTGTGACGTGTCTGTGACTCATGTGGAATCGACAGTACTTGGACTTGTCGGTGTTAGGTTTAAGGGCGCTGGCTTATAAAACCAGACCCCACATCTTTGGAATTTTGAGTTGATGCACTCAGCCAAGATGCGCTCGCGGGGAGCGGTGAGTAGTGTGTTCTTGAGAGTTGTGGGGCCCGTCTTCTCTCCATTTCTCCCTCCCACGTCGGGGAGCTACGGGGTCTTCGTACCTGGAGTTTTTGGCATTCTCCTGGTTCCATGAGTCGATGGGGCTGTTGGCAGCCTCCTTCTCCTCGTATTGGATATAGGACTGAGCCTTGTGGAGGAGTTCGTCCAGCGTATTTGGCCTCTCGATACCCACCGCCTTGACGAAGTCGCTGCGGGGTTGCAGCCCTCGCTTGATCAGGTATTTCTTCATACCATCTATAGTGGATACCTGGACGGCCTCGTGATTGAATCTCTTGATATAGTCTCAAAGAGATTTGTCCTTCCCTTGAATAATAGCCTCTAGGGGTGCCTTAGTCTTTGGATGTCACTGAGAGACGGTGAAGTTCCTGGAGAACTGTCTCTTCAACTCTTTCCAAGAGGTGATGGATTCAAGGTCGAGGCTCTTGTACCACGCCATCGCGCCATTCCTCAGGGTCGTCGGGAAGAGTCTGCATTTTATGGCTCCCTGGACGTTGCGGTAATCGGGCATCGTGTTGATGCTCTCAATGTGGTCGTCCGGGTCAGTCGTGCCATTGTAGGTCGCTAGACTCGGTGGCTTCTTCATTCCGACGGGGAGGCGAGTCTCCATGATGGCTCTGGACAGCAGAGTGCGGGGGTCGTCCTCATCGTTTATGACGGGTGATTGCGACGGGGAAGGGTCGTACTGAGGGCTCCTACAACGGCGTGGAGGGCTCCTCGGTCGACTCTTCGGTTTCCCCGTCTGCTCGTAAACTTTACTTCTCTTGGGAGTCGGGGAGCGTCGCTCCTTTCGGGAAGAGTTGCAGTCACGCTTCTGGATTGCTACGGGCTGAGGCCTTTCTAGTCGTGGGCGAAGTCCATGTTGCCACGACGAGGGGCTTCGAGATTCGTCCCATTGTTGTCTCCGCATGGGAGAAAGAGGACGTGTTTCTCGCCGTCTAGGGGACGGGCTGCGAGAAACTGGGCGCCTATGTATCCACGGGGGATAACGTGATTGTCGTTCCTTTTCCAGTATCTCGATCTATTCGTTTTGTTAGAACATCATTAGGTTCGTCTGGTTGCTCACCTCAAATAAGGCCACCATGGTTGGTTCAGCGTTAGGCAAAACAGGAATGAGTTGGAAAAAAGATGGACTGTCAAATGGTTGGACGACATTGTCGACCGCATCGTTGAAGGAGGGAGAGGCGGTGCGCCCATCCCTGGGGTCACCCTCCTCGACGAGGACAACCATGTCGGGATCATGGTTGTCGTCATTGGTGAAGGTGGTGAAAGCAGTTTCATGGAGGTTATCGTGAACGTGTGGGCTGGCCATGATCGATGGAAGTTGAGATATGTTTTGGTTCTTTGGTTTTTAAGGAAGAAAGAACGGGGAAGCAAGAGATTCCCACAGACGGCGCCACTGGTCTTACCAGACCAGAAAGAGATCAGCAGCCAGCAACGCGTCGTGAGCTCCTAGTTCGCCGGTGGTGGAGAAAAGGAAGAGGGTGTACCTGCAAGACACTCCGATGGAAAAGTGAGAAAAGGAAGAGAGTGGGCAGGTATAGAAGCAAGTGAGTTTTGAATACCTAACCCTCTTGTGCAAGATGATGTTTATAATATGCCCCCAACACTGGGCCAACCATTATCTGTATTGGGTTGGATCTTCAGGCCCAATACGGATAACTACCAGGATTTACGTGGCGTAAGGAAGACCAACACATGGTCTTTGTCCTAGGTCAACTGTCCCGTGATCTTCGAAAGGTGGGTGACCTGTTCTTTCAGACGCAGGTAGTTGCCTAATGACGTGTCCCCGCGTGGGGAACACGTGGAGACCGTGGGGAAGATGCACAAGTGCTCCCCGTGTGAGTTGAGGGATTGAGCCTTACTGGGCCCTCCCTGACGAGGAGTTGGGTTGGGCCGTGCCCGATGGTTGGCAGCCTCTGGCCCAGTCCAGAACAATATTGATAATAAATTTTGGATTTATACACACTTGCAGAGTACTACAATTGAAAGTAAATAAGTTATCACTTTCCAATTGCTTACCAGGACAATATTTTATTATATAATTCTAACAATCAATAACAATTATCGATCGAGATGTCAAAGGAAAGTGGATCGACCAAATAAATTAAATTGTGACTCACAATCATATTAAATCATAATTATATATTAACAACAAATAATTGAGTTCTAACTCATATAATTAAATTTTGATACTAAATGTAAGCATAAATATTCAATGATTGATTATATGAAATTAGAATATCAATACTTATTGAAGTCATGATTCAGAATCCTGAAAAGATGAATAATCAGATCTTCCTCTGTATCTCACACTCCCGTTCACAACTTTCAATGGGGCAAGTTGTGGAGTCGTCAATTATGTTTCTGATTCTTGTGATTACAAAAGGGACCTATCCATATAATATACATAACTTGAGTCCCTATCAATTATGGACCAAGGATTAAAGCCCACACTTTTACCCATACCAATCAGGTTTCAGATACTCAGTCGTTAATTAAAAAAGATCGCTTAACCAATAAAAGAGCTTATTTACGCACCTCCATCAGAATCACGATTAACCCATTTTTCATAAGCTAAATAACAATTGATTGTAATACACATAATGTTAGATAAATCTAACAACAAACACCAAAACCAAGTAAAAACATACTAATACATAACAACTTTAAAGGATAGATAATGAAAACCTAAATCAAAATTCTTAGTTAACAAACACACACAAGTACGAACCCACGTGAGGGCGTGAAACCAAATTACAAAAAATTGTAGTTTGTGAACAGATAAGCACATAATCTAGATCTTCAAAAATGACGAATGAACCTGACTACCAACACGGAAACAAGTCTACAACCTAACAACCCACTGTATCAACACACCATAGAAACTTTGTGATAAAAAAAGTAAGCAAGACGACACTTTCAAGCCAAACACTCCAACATTAAAAATGATATGGATATCCATTCAATCTGATATTAATCACGACGACTGATATAAATATAAAGTCAACACCAGTGCAAAGGAGGCAAATTTTAAAACTCAAAATCTGCATACTCAACAAATCTGAAAACAATCAGAAAATTAAAAGATAAGGACACCAAACTTGTTCCATAAACACAAACCTACAGCTGTAGTAAAACCACAATCGTTAATAGATCCATCGGAGAAGATAACGTAATTGTCAGTACTAAAGAACCTAAAACAACCACGAAAATCGTGACAAAAAAAAAAAACCGTCACGAACCATTCACCATTAGCATGTTGAAAGCAATCCCATCAAAAAGGATTTGATGATGACACAACCAAAAAGACCGATTGCATCATCACATATTTGAGATTACTTGAAGAGAGAACATAACATTGGTTTTTTTCTTTTTATATATATATATTAGTAGAGAGGTAAAAATTCATTTTCAACCTCAATTATTGTTGAGTAATTAGTTGAAAGGTTCTTAAAAGTATTTGGTTTTTACTCAAATGATTAACAATATGGATTTGATTTTCTTATTTTAAATTAAAAAAGTTACGTATCAGCGATGGTTGTCTTCTGTTTACTCTATTATTGATGGTCGTTAAAGTGGCAACACAGTTTCTTTTGATTGGAGGTGCCAATATAGTTAAATTAAATTGCTACTTCCACAAATCATTACTATTATGTAAAAAATCTTCTTTTATATGACAATCGGGAAATTCAATTTAATATCATATAATTTTATTTCTTTACAAAATACAACTAAATTTATTTAATAAAAAACTCATCCACTATATATATATTAAATGAGTGACATCTATTAAAAATAATAATATTAGTAAATAATTCTAAACACAATTAATTTCAGTTTATAATAATGGCCATATAAAGTAGTTAGAGCACTAGTCTCTTTATATAGTTGATTATTTTGCAAGTCAAATTTGATAAAAAAACACCAACCAATAAATGAGCGAGTAATCAACATACACCCACAGCGCGTGAAGTAACCCTCTAATTGATAGCCTTCGACGACTTCAAAACCACAAAACAAGACATCCTCAAAAAAGTTGCCACGTGTCGGATCCTCATCCATGGATTGTTCGGCAGCTTCAAAGCACTCAAAAATATCTTCAATTTTTTGGATTAGAAAAATTAATATCTCTTTTCAAATGGACCCCACATCCATTGCCAATTGTCCCTCACAAAAAAATATCCCATTGATATTTTCCTTTGGACGCAACTTGATTTCAACAAAAAGTTATAACCAAACAAAAAATAATAAAAAAATAAAAAAATAAAAAATAAAAAATAAAAATAAAAAAAATATCCACCACTAATAGAGCACCAACCATGAGTTATTTTTTATAGATCTAGTTGATGATGTGGAATATGTGGGCCAGTGTCTGCATGGATCTAGATATTTTGTGCTAAAAGAATAAATTTTCTGAACCGTTGGATGAGAACCTGGTTAACTTTGCTGTCGCCATCCGTACCGTTGGATCAACTTTATTACCTTAAAAAATCTTGTCAAATATCCTTATAATTCCTTTTTCTTTTTCTCTTCTCATTTTCTTTCTATTATTCTTCTTCAGTCTTTGAATTCTGATATTTGTGTTTTGTGCTGAGATTCTGATGCTATAGGGTGATTCTTGTTTTAGGATTTAGGTTGAAAAATGGGTGAAACTGTGGCGAGTGGTGAGAAGTTGGTGAGAGTTGAAGAAGAGGAAGAGAGTGGAACTGAGAGTAGAGGAGGTGGTGAAATGAAAGGGCTTTTGAGATGGGAGAAGTTTTTGCCGAAGATGGTTTTGAGAGTGCTTCTGGTTGAAGCTGATGATTGTACTAGACAGATTATAACAGCACTTCTCAGAAAATGCAATTATAAAGGTACGGTTTGTAATTGACTTCATGTTTTTTGGTTTCTAATTTTGTTTTCGGTGTTTTTCTTTGGTTTTTTATCATTTAGGATTCTTTATAATAATTGTCAATTTTGAATTTTATGTGTTTAATTTAATTGCTTACTGTTATATGAGTACGTTGCTTTGATTTTTCTTCTATTTTTGTTCTAATGGTAAATATTTGTTTATCTTGAGGTTTGAGTTGTTAATTAAAGGTTTATTTGATGGGACAAAAAAAGAAACTTGTAATTAGTCATAGATTTTGAGGATTTAATGAATATTTTACATTATTGATTTTCTCATCTTGGTTGGGTATTGTAATTTGAAAAACTAAATTAGGACTTGAAGTAAATGTAAGATTTAGAATTTTGAAATAAGTTTGATCTGTTTTTGAGCAGTTGCCGCTGTTGCCGATGGGTTGAAGGCATGGGAAATACTTAAGGGAAGACCGCGTAATTTCGATCTTATACTTACAGAAGTCGATTTGCCATCGGTATCTGGCTATGCACTTCTCTCGTTAATTATGGAGCATGATTCTTGCAAAACCATCCCTGTTATAAGTATGATATCGAACATAAATCTTCTACTTTCTTGTCAAGTTTCGCTTTTTACAAGTACTTTGATTAATTGTTATGCATTTTTTCATGTTTTTTCCAGTGATGTCGTCGCAAGATTCAGTTAGTACGGTATACAAATGCATGTGTAGAGGTGCAGCTGATTATCTTGTTAAGCCGATTCGGATAAATGAACTAAGGAATTTGTGGCAGCATGTATGGAGAAGACAATCAGTAAGACTTATGATCTTTTGGTTTTCAGTTTGCTTTCGCTTTTTCTCTTAAACACTCGGATTTCGATGAAACAAATGGTTGAACTTATGCTTATTATCTGTTTACTCTATCAGCAGTTAACCGCAACCGCTGGCATGAACGGCCCCCAAGATGAAAGTGATGCACAGCAGAAGGTTGAAGCCATGGCTGAAAACAACGCTGCTAGTAATCGTTCTAGTGGCGATGCTGCTTGTATTCAAAGAAATAAGGATTTAATTGAGAAAGGAAGTGATGCACAGGTTAGCTTTCCAGATCTAGAAATCTTTATTTTCAAATATCATTGCAGTTATGTGAAGATATTTCTGAGCAAAGAATAAAATATAGATTTTGTGTGCGGTTACATTTATCCATCTTCACAAGTCTCTCATAGTTAAAAGAAATTGGTTTCTGTTGCAGAGCTCTTGTACAAAGCCAAACATGGAAGCTGAGAGTGGCCTGGTTGATAACATGCAAGAATTTACTCAGCTGAAATGTGCTGAAGCATGTCCAAGTGAAATAAAGACACATGAATTTGACATTCATTTAGGCCAGACATTGATCGCGCAGGACAGTCACGCTGGAGGTAAATTTCGGTCTTTCACTGCAATAATATTTTGCTCGGCTCACAAGGAAGAACTATCTAAAATCTGAACAAACTTTTATTTTTAGGATTAAGCGTGGCTAACTGCAAAAATGGAGAGACAAGCACAAATAATGGCAAGGACGTTAATGATCAAGAACATTTTAGGATTGCCAGCACCAGTGGTGAGGTTCATGACAATCACTATGTTCAAATTAACTCTACTAAGGAAGCTATTGACTTGATTGGAGCATTTCGTACGCATCCAAATTGCAGTCTCAAAAAGTCATCCATTGATTGGACAGACAAGCTTGACAATTCTCCACAATTGGATCTTTCTCTTAGAAGCTCTCATCCAAGTAACTTTGAGAAGGAACTCACTGAAGAAAGGAACACCCTTATGCATTCTAATGCTTCCGCTTTCAAACGGTAATTGCTAAAATTCCTTTTTATTCTTAATTTTTTTCCTTTCTGTGATATTAAAAATTGGTCCATGTTGAGTGATGAGTTTGAGAAACTTCAAAAGATGATATAGTACTTTGAACGTTTTTTCCCGTCTTTAGGATAAGGATGAAGCTAGCAAATGTGTGAATTTTGTCTTGTGGTCTTTATAACCTCCCATCCCTGTTGAATTCTGCACGCTTATCACAGTGTTCCATGCTTGCAGGTATACTAACAGACAATTGCATGCGTCGCCTGCAGTAGTAGTTAATTTCTCTGATCAACAAAGAGAACAAAAAACAAATAATGGTAACCATAACTCGGATAGTTCAATACCAAGTATGCAAAAATGTAATATATCTCCTGCTACAGCCCAATCAAAAGAATCCGAACTCGCAACTTCACATTCCCAGCAAGGGCATTCTCTCCCAATTCCTGTAAAAGGCGTAAGGTTCAATGATCTTCGTGTGGCCTATGGTTCAACACTTCCACAAGGGTTTTGTACACAATCAGGTCCACCATCCATGCCAGGTTCTGTCGTGTTTCTCGAACAAAATTTTCAAGCAGATGCACTTTATCAGCCAAATGTTAAAGAAAATAATTCAGAACAAGTTTACGAACCCCGTTGTCCGAATGGAAACAGCACCTCAAACCAAAATGTGTACACACAGGAACACAGGCCAGAACATGCAGAGGATCAAAGACTTATCTCGCCAACAACTGATCAAAGTGTATCCAGTAGTTTATGTAATAATGGAAATGCAAGCCATCTTAACAGCATTGGTTATGGAAGTAATTGTGGAAGTAGCAGCAATATTGAAAACGTTGCTGCTTTCAGGACATCAGCAGTTTCCGATGGTAAGAATGAAGACCTCACAAACGGTGGATATTCACATTCACATCGCTCTATGCTAAGAGAAGCAGCTCTTAACAAATTCCGATTGAAACGAAAAGAGAGATGTTATGAAAAGAAGGTATATCAATATCAATATCAATAACATAAGCTTGTATTTGTACAAGCATGATCAATGATCATCATAGTTTTCGAATTATATACTAACTTATTATACTTTTTAACAGGTTCGATATGAAAGCAGGAAGAAACTAGCAGAACAGCGTCCTCGAGTTAAAGGACAATTTGTTCGCCAAGTGAATCCTGATTCTCTTTCTGGAGAAAAAGAATGCTGAGAATACTGATTATTATTACATTAGTAGGTATGTGTCTCAGGGGAGAGGATAGTGTGCTTTGTTAGTATTAGTTGGTTAAAATTTTTGATTTCTTGACAACTTAAATAGCAGAATGACTTGTCTGTATATGTTTTCTAAAACCATTTTTTTTTCTTTTGCCTTTCCTCTAGATCTTGATATATATTTATCTAGTAATAACCTACTATACATTTGTAATTTTATACAGTTTTTTAAAGACTTTCGTGTCTCATTGTTTGATTTTTTAAAAAAGAATTTGTTAACATCCTAGGACTCACTGATTAATTAATCATGTAATTTTGGAGCTTCATGTACTATATCATATTAGTATTGTTCTTTTGCGTGTGACATAGCAACCGGTTAATTGTATTTTATTTTAGATTTTATGAGAAATTTTTGTATAGAAATGCACTAAAATTCATATTCTTTACAAATAATCAATAATTAAAAAGTAAAAATAAAATAAAATAACACTTATAATAGATAATTTAATCGAGAAATAATTGGTTCAATATTTTTCTCTCCTCTCCATATCACAATTATTTCATAATTCCTATTAAAAATAGAGTTTAAAGATAATACATTCACAATTTTACACATACAACTAATTGAAACTCTTACCTTTGTCATGTCATTTCAGTATTTTAAAAATTAAATTGGGATTTATCGTGATGTATATTTTTCATTGATTGTCAGTATTTTAAAAATTAAAACTCTAACTTATTAACTGTCAATGTATTTTTTTCTTTAAAAATATTAAATTTTAAACAAATTTAAAATTTTGATTTAAAATCTTGAAAGTTAACCTTATTGATTGTTAGGAAGAATACGGATTTAAGTGGTCAAAATTTCTCTTATTTTATTGTCTAAATTGTGTACCTGTAAAAAGCTACTATTATTGATCTATCAAAACGTGGTTTGCAGGTTTCTCAATTACATTTGCTCAGAATTCATTTTAAAATAGCATGCAAATATTGTTTCCTTAAAATGTGGGAAGATTTACCTCATACCCCTACACTTATACCTATACCCCTACATTAAAAAATTTTGGACCAAAATATCCTCGTATAAAAATTTATTATTTTTTAATTTTTTAATATTTTTTTATTTGTTTACCGGAAGACTTTTTGGAAGTCTTCCGGTTCACATTTTTTAGTATGTTTACCGGAAGACTTTTTGGAAGTCTTCCGGTTCATATTTTTTCGTTTGTTTACCGGAAGACTTTTTGGAAGTCTTCCGGTTCATGCTTTTTTTTAATTTGTAATTAATATTTAAGATTTATTAATTTTATATAAAGACCAATTTAATAAATTTTTGAATATTATACTTAAAATATAAAAATTCTATAAATAGAGAATCATTTTCAGAATATTTTCTATTTACTATAATTATTAGAATACTAGGATTAAAATCATTTATTTTAAATGATCATAATAGTAGAATTTTCTCAAATATCTTATTAATCTTAAACATTAATAAATAAAATAAATTTAAATATAAGATATAAGTTTACATTATTCAATATATTTAATCAAATGAAAACATATGTGATAAATAAATAATGTATTTTAACTTAAAATGATCACAATAAGTTAACTTGCAAAATAATATAAGTAATAAATTAATAATGTATTTTATTTAAAATAATCACAATAATAAAATACGCAAATAATGTGTTTTATTTATAGGACTGATATAGTTTTATTGATTATTTAATTTTGAATACTACTATGAATATAGTATTTAATCTATACTTTAGAACTCACATAATTATAAATATAAAAAATATTGTTTTATTACCCATATTTTTATTTAATTAAAAAAAATAAGAATATAAATTTATTATTTGTTTTTCATTTTTGTTTGATCTTTTTAATTATTTCACTTTATTTAATATTTTTAATAAAATAAATAATATATTTTATTTAAATTAAGCACAGTATAGAATATGCAAAAAATTTATAAATAAAAAAAAGATCAAACGAAAATGAAAAACAAATAATAAATTTATATTCTTATTTTTTTTTAATTAAATAAAAATATGGGTAATAAAACAATATTTTTTATATTTATAATTATGTGAGTTCTAAAGTATAGATTAAATACTATATTCATAGTAGTATTTAAAATTAAATAATCAATAAAACTATATCAGTCCTATAAATAAAATACATTATTTGCGTATTCTATTATTGTGATTATTTTAAATAAAATACATTATTAATTTATTACTTATATTATTTTGCAAGTTAACTTATTGTGATCATTTTAAGTTAAAATACATTATTTATTTATCACATATGTTTTCATTTGATTAAATATATTGAATAATGTAAACTTATATCCTATATTTAAATTTATTTTATTTATTAATGTTTAAGATTAATAAGATATTTGAGAAAATTTTACTATTATGATCATTTAAAATAAATGATTTTAATCTCATTGTATTCTAATAATTATAGCAAATAGAAAATATTTTGAAAATAATTCTCTATTTATAGAATTTTTATATTTTAAGTATAATATTCAAAAATTCACTAAATTGGTCTTTATATAAAGTTAATAAATCTTAAATATTAATTACAAATTAAAAAAAAATGAACCGGAAGACTTCCAAAAAGTCTTCCGGTAAACAAACGAAAAAATATGAACCGGAAGACTTCCAAAAAGTCTTCCGGTAAACATACCAAAAAAATGTGAACCGGAAGACTTCCAAAAAGTCTTCCGGTAAACAAATAAAAAAAATAAAAAAATTAAAAAATAATAAATTTTTATACGAGGATATTTTGGTCCAAAAATTTTTAATGTAGGGGTATAGATACAAGTGTAGGGGTATGAGGTAAAACTTCCTAAAATGTGCATATCAGGATGTCCAGTCTGATTTGGGCTGTTAGAGCTAGAATTTGGGCTTTGTTGGGTGTAGCTGAAAAGCCCGGTTTTAACATGTGTTTGAAAACAATGTCCAAACTCTTAACAAACTAATGTCCAGACTATTAACAAACTAATTAAAATAGAAAAATATTCAGTGTATCCGATGGGGTGCACTTCATCCCTATGAAAATTTAAAAATGCTCTTACTCTTATTTGGAGATGCATTCTCGATGCACCTTACACCATAATAGTCTTTGTATTTTAGCTAGTCATCTTATTTTTGTCAAAATCTATTAAGAAGGTGCATTTCCGTATATTCTATGGGGTTGGATCTAGAGATACATCTCCATAAAACCCATATGCATAGGGGTGTTTGCAATGCGATTTTGACGATTCTTGCACTAAGAGTAATTTGAACGACAAGAGAAAAAACATGTGGTTCGGTTTGTTTGGTTGACTTTTAGAAATAAAACTGAACCAAACAAAACCAAACCAATGCGGTTTAAATTGGTTCGGTTGGTTCGATTTTTAACAATAATTTTATTGAGTCATACATACACATATAAAGAACAACATAACTTCGTGTTTAGTTATTCACACATTATCAAATAACAGCAAAACTCATCATATTTGGACAATAACTTCTCATTCAATATACAAAAATCAGATTAGACAAAAGTGGAAGAAAAATATAAATAGTAGCATAAAAAAATATCAAAAATATTATAATAAAATAGAAAAAATAGAGGAGAAGAGAGATTAAAGAAGATGTAAAAAAAAGAGCAGAAGAGATGTGAGGTTAGAGAAGAACGATGCGATAAAAACATAATAGAAAGAGAGAACAATAACATAAAAACGAGAAGATGAGAAAGAAAGAACATATGAAATGAGATGTTAGAGTATAATATATGAGATTTACATGGAAAAGAAGATGAGAAGAAGACATGATACGACTAGGAGAGATTAGAGAATGTTGAAACTGAAACTCTAAGAGTGAGTAAGAGAAAATCGCATGTAATCGTAAGGCTAATGTATAATAGGTTTAGGTTTTGGGTTGGATGTGGGATAAGTAAAGTTTTGGTTATAACGTAATGCAGTTTGGTTTAGTTTGGTTTGGTTTGTAAATACAAACCGCAAACCGAACCGAACTGTGCAGTTTTATTAAAAAATGGTCAAAACACATCCGAACCAAATGTGCCTTTTTGCGGTTTCGGTTTGGTTTGATTTGTAATTTTATATTGGACCGATTCGATTTTGAATACCCCCTCCCCTGTGCACATTTGTAGTATTTTTATTCACTGAGCTGATTTATTTAACAACTCAATGACGTTATCAAAGATGCATACTCGGAAATGTCAAGTGGGAAATTTAACAAAACACCACCTTGTATGTTCTTCTTCCTCATGATCAAGTCTACTTCACTCTCAACACCCTTAAAAATATTTCTTCCATTTTCAATCAACTTTTTTGACACTAAAACATCATTCTAGTATTTTATCATATCAAAAGGAGCAAAATAAGTTAGGATTTAAGGTAAAGTTTATTCATTTTATCCCTTAATCCTCGCATTAACTTGTTTTTTGAGTTGAGAAAAGAGCATTGAGTCAAGAGTTGCATATCCGAACTATGTTTCATGTGTTCCGGAGATGCATCTCCGAATTTGTCTGATACTTTGAGTTTTGAATTTGTTTTTCTATTATGATGGTACACCCGAATATGTTTCCCAAAACTATTATAAGGATGAATATTAAATAAGATAAAGTGAATGATGATATTAAACCAGATGAAGTGAAGGACGATGTTAAATCGAGTGCTAGACCTCTTATTGTCGAGGTAGTTGTTCATGAACAATTTACAAATAAACAAGAGTTTATTGTTCGAGAACATATGCTACAATGAGTCTGAATGGAGGCTGAGAAATTGGGGTTTAACGTTGTAATAGGAAGACCTGACAATGGTTCTGGTATAAGTCAAGCATTTGTAACAATGAGATGCGAAACAAGTGTCACATACTAAACACCAATTAGGAAGTTGAAACGTGACACTGAATCGAGAAAATGTGAGTGTCGATTTAAATTGCGTGAATAACGTAAGGCAAATGATACATG